TTTTTTTTATGGTTAACAGAAACAATATTTTAATGAGTATTCTTCCCCAAAGGCAAAGTCCTAGAAATAGACTTGCTGGGCGAAAGAAATGCATATGTAAAATTATGGTACACGTTGCCTAGTTTTTCATCAGCAAAGTTCCCAACATTCATTGTTGTGTAGGAGAGTTGGTTTCCCCTAGCCAACTCCAACACTTGGCATTATGGATCATTTAATCTTTGCTATCATTTCTCATCAAAAAGGCTTTATTTTCATGTTATTAGGGAAAAGCAAACATCCATTCATGTTTTAGTCATTTTTAGTTTCGATTTTCCTAATTTTCTGTTCATTACTATTGCCTGTTTCTTTAGCCTGTGTTGGACGTTATTTATTCTTTCTTTATAATATTTATGGGTTGATGATAGAAACCTTTGAATTTGTATGTTACAATTAAACTCTCTCCTCTTGCTTAAGTTTAAAATTGTTATTGAGATTGTTCCTTTATGTTTTTTGTGTTATGCTTAGGAAAGCCTTCTCCAGTCAATCATTATAATATTTTTCTCCATTTTGTTGATTTTATTACTAATTACTAAGTAGTATTTCTAATTTTTTTTTATGATTTTTTTTCTTTCTAAACTTTCAAAGTCATAGTGAATTTAAAAAGTACTACAATGAAAAACTTTCTGTCATTGCAATTTTAGATGTTTGTATAGATCAAGCAAAACTAGAAGAGTTTGAAGAGAAAGCATCAGACCTTGGCAAGAAAGTAAGTGACTTTGATTAACTTTGCAGGACTGTGGGGAACCACTGCAGGCAGGTTTCTACCTCAGGGACTTTGCTTGTTGTTCCTTCCTTCCTTCTTTACCTCCTTCAGGTGTATGCACAGCTGCCATCCTCCAAGCAGGACTTTCCAGACCATTGTATTTAAAAATTTTAGTTCCTCATTTCCAACCTTGACCATCCCTATTTTTCCTTCCTCATTTGTCTTTCTTCCATTATATTTATCATCATCTGACATGCTACATAGTTTACGTATTTACATATGTGCATATGAATATATTATCTATTTCTTTTTCTAGACTAAACTTTATTACACATTTTTGTTTTATTCATTATCTCTGTACCAAAAAAAATTTTTGTCCCCTGTGTAGGAATTAAAAAACATATTTTTTGAATGAATTAGTGAATAAGTGTTTGAGCAAAATGTATGGAATCAAAATTTTAAGATTGGAGTAATTCTCAAGAAATCGTATCATTTAGGCCCTTAAACTGAATTCCTATCTTAAAATTTTAAGAGAAAAGTTAATTGGTTTTTTGTTTTGATTAAAGTTGTTTCCTTATATTAAGTCGTACTATAAAAATTGCTATTTTCATAGGTCAAAATTGGATATTATGATACCAGTTTTATTTGTTTCAACCTAGTAGTATTTCTAACCATCCAGCCATTTTCTACTTTTCTTTAAGGTAGCATTTTGTCCTTTTATCTCTGGCTAAGCATGTACCTATTAAACTTATTCTTTATTTTTTTGTTGGATTCAAAGTCACTCTGACTTGAATGCTTAAAGCTGTTTTTTCACTTTGAAGGAATCATAATTATTACTGCTACTGCCACCAGAATGAACCCTTAATGAACATTTGCTAAATGAATATTTACTGTGTGTTAGGCAACATGCTAGGAAGTACACATTTTTAATGTAGCAGGTATTAAATGTATCTTGAGAGAATTACACATTTCTATAAACTTTGAAGATAAAACATGACTTTCAAGATAAAACATAAGTTAGGAGTAACTTACGGAAAACATTATAAATTTCCTGTCTTATAAATGCTAAGACATTGAGTTTACCAAACCCTAATTGGGAGGTTATTGTATCCCAGGCCTTAGGCTGTAGGCTAGGATTACAGCTGTGAATATTATATTGTCATTGCCCTCAAGTCATTCAGTTTAGTGGGGGAAACAAATTAATAGATCATTTAAATTGTGTCATAAGTGTTAGTTAATAGATGTTCATGTTGTAGGGTGACTCCTCACTCAACCAACTTTGTATTCTAAACTCAGTAATAAGTGCTTTCACTCTTTGTAGGAAAATAGTAGTAAACCTCAAGTACTTGATTTGGGCGCATCCCAGATAGTACAAACTTGCTTTTGTTATCATTTTTATGTATATATTAGTAGTATATATGAATGGTGTTAAACATACTAACTTTTCAGCAGATTTTTCTTTTTTTTTAAATTGTAAGCTTTAAATGTAAATAGAAGAAAGACTTTGTTCAAGGTTAGTTGTCTCCTTTTAGTCAGAAATTATATGTCTTAGGTGTATTCAGAAAATATTGTTTGCTTCATAAAAGATTTCTATTGCCATACCATTTTGTATATATCAGCAAAAACTTTGTTCTGATAGCTTTATAAGGACACATGTAAATACTTTGCTTTAGGCAGAAAGCTATCATGGTTGCTAGACACATTCTTTATTTTGGTGCATAAATTTGAAAAATGAAGACCAGAAATGTCAGAAAGTATATAGAGAATATTGAGTTATCAACCTTCTTGTACAGATGCACTAATACATTTACCCTTGGGAATGAAATTAAGCAGCGCCTCAACCTTAACTGTGTTTTTTGACATTTTTGCATGTAATTTTGTGAGTATAATATTGCCCTAGTAACTCTTTCCAGAGAAGAAGGCTATCATATCAGTTTTTATATGGTATGCTTTTAATGGAGATTCATTTTATCCCCAAGGCTACAGTGATTTGACTATTGATATTACAAAAATGCTAAAGCAAAGTTTATATTTCATCTGATCCTTTTATGGGGAGGTTGTGGAAATTTTTCTTTTGATAAGTAATACAGATACTTTCAGTATGGCCAAGTTAATTTAATAAATTTTCTTAGAGTGTACTAATTATGACTTTATTTTGATAGTGTTTATCTTCAGTCTCCTAAGTAATCTTTTTTCCTTCCAAATTTTAGTCTAGCATCTGTAAGATAGGACGGGCGTATCCTATTGCACATATTGGTATTGTGAAGAGTCTTCTTCATTCTTACTCTCATAAGAAAAGTTAATTTTTTAATTTCTTGCTATGAAGCAGTGAACTTTGAGCTGTAAAAAAGGGAAAAGAGAAAATGACTTCTCAAAGATTTTTGATGTTGGGAGAGTAGGGAACTTTAATATATGATATTGACATAGTCATTCAACATATAAAGGAAAATTTGACAGGA